CCACTTTCCTATCTCCTTCTATTTTTCGTCGCTTGCCTCTCTATTTCTTCATCTATTTCCTTCTGTTCTTTTTATCCCTCCTTCGCCCACCCATATAAGGCACTGCGCGATGTCGCCTATAGGCAGACAGAAATTAGGTGCCTTCTTCCTTTTCCTTACGAACCACTAACGAACCAACCCCACTGATCGTCTGCGCAGCGCATTGAATTGCGCGCACACCAGCGGCAAGCCGCGCGCGGCGGTGGCGGAGTATCATTGCGCATGCGCAGAGCAGTGCCACGCGAAATTGGCTCAGTGAGGCCAGTGTAGCTAACCCTAAAAAATACGCGAACAACTTCCCCGAACAGCTAAAATAATTTCCTCAAGCATACGCATTTAAGGTACGACGCTCGCACGATCACTTGCGACTCGCCGTGTCCGCGAATGGAACATCCAGCTGTCGCACTTCTCTTCGAGAACGGATTCAAGGTAAGCTGCCGCGCCGCTGACGGCTTCGCGAGCTCACGTCTTCTTGGTAAGTGTAACAGCCACTGCAGCACGACGCGAAACCGCGCGAACGTGATCGTGTCCAAAAAAGAGGACGTATACCTGCTAAGCTGTCAAGCAGCATACGTTAAAAACAAGCGTTGAACAACTTGCATTTTTGTCTAAAGTTTAGACATGCGTAGGTATCGGTACAACGTATGCGCGTCGTATCTAAAGTGAACTTTCGCATGAAACGTTTTGGACTCATTTTCAGACTTTGCCTGAGCTTCCTTTCCAGTCATAAGTGGCACTTACGAAACCTGATGTATCTGAGCTTTGATTTGACCTAATACGCGATGATCATATGTGGGCTTTAACGTCCCAAAACCACCAGATTATTATGAGACACGACGTAGTGGAGGGCTCCGAATGTTTCCACCACTTGGGGTTCTTTAACGTGCGCTCAAATCTGCGCCCATGGGCCTAGAGCATTTTCGCCTCCATCGAAAATACAGCCCCTGCAGCCGGGATTCGACCCCGCGACCTGCGGGTCAAAAGACGAGTACCTTAGCCAATATGTTACCGCGGCGGGTCGAATTACTACGTCATAACATACATACTGCACGGCATAGGTGAAAAAAGTGAAAGCCGACGATGAAATAGGTAATGAGAGGATGTATACATTCCTGGATCCATCTCCGTTTTTATTTCTCGTGGCGACGCGTCGTAGCGTAACCTAATAATATTACATATGCTGGCCCATAGATTGAAGTACACTCACACGTCGTTCGCGACTTGCAAGCATCACACACTTAAATACAACAGTCGCGATCTCGGCCATTCGATCACCACCGATGATCGAGTAGTGAAATTCTAAAGGCTGGTGCACACTGGCGACTGGCAGCGGTCACGCGACCATTCGCGACTGGCAACCAAAAAGTGACTGATGTTCACACTGGCAGAGGCTGCATGCGAGCTACCGGAGGTCGCAAACCGGAGAGTCCCGTCCGGATCTCGTCATCAGCGAGAACTCTGGAAACCGACGCCGTTCAGCTGATCGCCGCCAGCTGAGTGAGCGGAGGAAACCGAGCGCGCTACATTCGTTGTTTTCGTCTGTTCTCGCATAACGTTCCCAACAGCGTCAAGGAGTTCGATTCAAGCGAAGAAAGGAGAAATTGTCATGGTGCTGGTGCGCTGTGCCATGGTGTCAGCGCTGGCAGCACAGATGAATCCAAAGAAAAAAAGCCGGTGGTTGGTGTGACCCTCCCTTCGATCGCGGGAGTTGGCCGGCCATGCAAACCGCCTGCCTCCAGAGCAGCGCTGAGACAACGAGGAGTATTTCCGAGAGTCGTACGTATTCAGAAACGCTCTTGAATTTATCTCGACTTGCCACAGCCTCCAATGCAGCACAAACGCGTCTAGAACGCGGGTTTTAAAGCTGTTGCCAAAGCATGAAGCACAAACTGGTTCCCAACAAGCTGCATCGAAGGCTGTGACAAGTCAAGTTCAAGAGAAAAAACGATTCTGAATACGGGGGAAAGATAGTGCACAATTGATTTTCTCTTTACTTTGATGGTGTTTAGGCTTTTTGCGAATGCCGCCACGCAAATTCGACACTATGCTCAAGCTGCTCTGCTCGCCCACTTCCAAGCCAAGTACTCCGCGTAAAACCATGGTGCCACAGGCCCAGAGGACCGCAGTCGTTTGTATCTGGCGGCAGAAGACCAGCGCAATGAAAAAAAAATTGAGCATTGCTGATTGGTTTCAGCAGCTTTGCGACTGCACTCGCGCAACTGAAAAATCGGTCAGGAAGCGACTAGCCCAAGCAGTCGCTTTGCGACCGTTTGCGACCAGTCGCAAATGGTCGCGCGACCACAGCTAGTTGCCGGTGAGGTTGACGCACGCATACAAATGACGGAGCGGGCTAGTCCGACGGCAATCATCTTCGCTATGTGCACAGAAAGCGCGCACGCGCGCACGCACGCACGCACACACACACGCACACACACACACACAAAAACACACACACACAACACACACACACACACACACACATACACACACACACACTTACACAGACACACACACACACACAAAAACTAGAACGTTTCTTCGTCTCCACGCTTGCATACGAACGTGCCCCTAACTTTTGAGGAATACGCACGATGCAGTTACCAGCCTACACTCGGCCGCGTTGTTCACAGGAGGAGGACTTCACGGGAAACATAACAAAAGCGATGAACAGTAGCTTCCAACGCTCGCAGCCACTCGTAATCGCCGCACCTCGCACGGCGGAACAGGCTTTAGAAGATAGCGCTACGAATAACGAGAAGCGAAGGCGCAGTTCCGAAGCGCCCACATAGCAATGCGTCGAGTACTCACAAAAATGGCGGCAAGCGCGTATTGTATCTTTTCGGCGTTTGCTGGCTCGAAACCTACCCAAAGCCGTCTAGAAAGCTACCACGACTAATTTGTTCTAGAAGCTTGTGGCGACTCTCTGGCTCCCCGCGGGTAGCCAGAACAGCACAACTCGAGAAAACAATTGGAAGATCCCACGTACAACGGACATCGATGATATGCGAAGCACGAATGAGCAATGTTAATATGTCACTTTAAAATCAGCCCAAGGTTAGAAGGTGGAGGTAAATAATGCCCTATAGGACTTCCGTGTCATGATTATGATGTTTGGATGAGTCGTTTGCTTTAGTCATCTCTTCATGTCATGTGATACCAAATTTAGTATATGTGGAGCTAATGAAACGACCACGAGCACTCTATGAGCGTAGGCATGTTGTGATGTTCTTACATGACACGCGTGTCAGGATTATCATGTTTGCACTAGTCATATATTTCGTCATGTATTGACGTCACGTAACACCAAATTCGGTATATGTGAAGCTAGCGAAACGGCCGCGAGGGCATCATGAAGGGCCCAATACACGCCAATGTAGCGTTGAGGCGCGCACACGCTGGGTCCAGCCACGCTACGTTAGCAAAACGCGAGCACTATAGTCTGACGCCAGGCACCACCAGCGTCCGTCGGCGCGGCCCGACGGCAACCGGTGCGAAATGCGACATGCTGCATTTCGCGCTGATATGTTACCGAGACAACACAGCGTCTCCCTTTTTTTTTCGTGACGGAGGGACGCCGGACGCGCTGAAACGTGCATGCGTCAAAGCAACGCAGAGCGGCGCGTGCCTGCGAATATATGGCAGGACTGATGCCTGGTGTGGCAACGCCATCGTGACGTGACTGAAATGAACGTTGGCCAGCGCTGCGCACCGCGTCACGTCGAAAAGTATTGGCGCATTTACTGTGGCATGTAGTCTTGTTCTCACAAGACACGCATCTCATGATTATGATGTTTGCACCAGTCACATACCTTCGTCATCCATTCACGTCCCATATGACCAAATTTGGCATATGTGAAGCTAGCGAAACGGCCGCGAGTGCGTCATCAGTGTGGCATGTAGCCATGTTGTTACATGACATGCATGTTGTGATTATCACGTTCGGATGTGTAATTTACCTATGTCGTCCATTCACGTAGTGTAATACCAAATTTGGTATATGTGACGCTAGCGAAACGGCCGCGCGCGCATCATGACCTTGGCATGTATTCATGTTGGTACATGACACGCATGTCATGATTTTTATGTTAGGGTCTGTCGCTTGTGTTCGCCTTGCAATCATGCCATACCCTAGCAGTTTTGCAACATGCCATGTGAACGAAACCACCTCAAGATCTGCAGGATGATTAATTGTCATTCATCATATTCATGACATATATGTCATGATTTTCATGTTATGACTAGTAAAATATGTTCTTCATACAGTCGTGTTATGCCCTACCAAGTTTGGTATCGATACCATTACCGAAACGGCCACGAGAGCTAAAAGTCTTAGGTGGATAGATAGATAGATAGATAGATAGATAGATAGATAGATAGATAGATAGATAGATAGATAGATAGATAGATAGATAGATAGATAGATAGATAGATACGCTCAAAGTCACCAATGTTCACCAAGAAATGCTTTGCATTTAAAAAGTACCGGCTTTGCGGCCGAGGCGAAGCAATGAACGCGATAGCAATAAATTGAAAGGTTATGCTCATAATGGCAAGAAGATCGAAACATGTCCCATTGTTTCTCACGCACAAACGGCGCACGAAACCAACTCATATACATATACACGCGAATAAGCGTCTCAATTGTTACTTCGCTGTGTCTGAAAAGCGCGCGCTTTTCGCAAACGGAGACTGGAATGATTGCAGTGACCTTCGTGAGCGCGGTAGCTAGAACAGAATCGTTCTAGGTAAAGCCTGAGGCCACGTACGACCCACTTCACCGCGAGATTAGGACGCGCAAGGGAGCATCTGCGCCCTCCTCTAAGCGGGGCAAATTACGCGTGGGAGCAACACGAGAAAAACGAGCATGCTTTGGCTGCCTCTGGCAGCCCACGGGAAGCCAGAAGTGGGAAATTAAAGAGCCCCACTATTATGCGAGTGACTGAAATCATCCACGGACTCACCGTCTGTGGCCGCCGTTGGTCGTGTGCTGAGCGGTGGAAAGAGAGGGTCGAGTCCGGTTTCAAACCAGCCCGGGAACTCGAGGCCGGCTTCCCTGTGGGCAGTGGACCTGCGAACGGGTCCAGCCGTTGGTGAGGGAGCCTCCTCGCATGGCCCAGAGCTTCGCACTGTCAAGTTGCGCTGCAGACGGCACACGAACTGGCGCAGCTGGCAGGCAGAAGCGTAGGTGTTGCCGTCGGAGCCACACACGGGCCCGCCTTCCTCGGCCCCTCCGGTACACTGTTCGCAGCTGGATGACGGATGAGAAGACGAAGCGCAACCTTGGCTACCCAGCTGCGCCTCCGAGTTTGCGCACTCCGTGCATTTCATGCCCTGGGCCAGAGAATTTTTGCCCTTTCTGGCAGCGACGACTGCGACAACACAAAGCTCTTGCACACGAGAACAACGGCCAAGGAGCTCTTTGAAAACTGGGTACACCAAATTTCAACGTGTTTGTTGGAAAAAACGAGGGGCCCGGCTCCGAAAGCGCATCCGCATCATCGTCAAGCGAAACCAAATGAGCGTGGTAACCAACTTGAATAACAGATGGCTGAGTTAAACAACCAAGACAAAGCCATAACGCGAATCAAAAATTTAAAGAAGTAGGGTTGTTCAGATAAGCAGGCTGACGAACTTTTTACGCCTTTATTCTTAAAAACTCTAGTCTTCCTCAAACAAAACAAAGAAACTAACAGCAATACATTTAAACAAAAAGAAATACCCAGTTCGTAGTGGCAGCTGTACAGCGAAAGGCTGGCGAATAGAAAGCATCCAAATGCTAGAACACCAGAGATAACATGGAATTATAAAATATTTTTGGTTAGACATGAAAACGTGCTAATAAAAAGTAATCAACATTTTGATTACACATTTCCCTCAGGTAGACGTTAAAAATTTGTATACCACTGAGAGCCAGTGGCAATTGGTAAGAGAAGTCTGAAAATCTTCCTGGAGCAAGGTTTAGAGTTTGACATATGTGGCACACAAATGCCTGAAGTGTGGGCGGTGCAAAAAAATTACGGTGCAAAAAAAATTACAAACTGCAGAGGACCTGCGGAACAATCGTGAGCCATCGTCAATATGACCGTTCGCGAAATACATTGTCTTTGTTACACAGGTGATCGGAATTTGCAGAGTCATGCCTGGTACTCGCGTAAGCTCTAAAACTAACTCGGTTACTAATGTCCTGCATGTAATCTTTGAAATACTGATAAGAAAAGTTTGAAATTTTCTTTTGCTTCAAATGAATGGCCAAGCCCACAAGATCTTAAAAAAATACATTGCTAAGCGTGAGTGCACCCTGAAAACGCAAAAGAGTGTGTTCTTGAAAGCTAGTTTCAGATATTACTTGACCTTGAAGTCGCAACACGGTATGAGGTTCTCGTAACCTGCTTATGCAAAATATTGTGGCGTCACGCTAGTGTCAATCTTGGTAGGTACGGCATGAGAAAGTTTAATAACAAATCAAATACTGCGAAGCGGCTCTTTGACTAGCCTTTGTAATGCTGTCTCTCCGTTCGCAACGCGTTCCCCTGGCTGCAGGTGTTAAGGCGGTGCCAAGTAGGTCAATCCTTTCCTCGCAGTGCACGCGCATCGACGTCACCCCCTCTCCAGCCTGTCGCCGCTGGCCATGTGTCATCTCTCTCGCTTCATCCTCTCCACTGCTCGCAACGTTCAAGTGCACATCGAGTGAAGGCACTGCGCCGTGCTCCCGACCAGGTTGCAGAAATTAGGTGCCTTTTCTCATCTTCTAACCACTACCACTACCACATCGAGTGGAAGAACTTTTTGGCTCGTTTATCTGCCGTAGAATTTACACGATACCCAACCAGCCTCCCATGTTTTTGCGTCTCAAATAAACGTTTACTCGAGTAAAGGCTACAACGAGTTTTGCTCTAAAGCGTTCTTTCAGCACAAGCGTCCATGTCTGTTTCAGCCGGGCCAACAGCGTGCATACCACTGCTGCTTCGCCTACCATTATGGTTCCCTACGGCGAGATGGCCCATACCTTTAACAGCATTTGCTGAGCCTCACAATTGCTGAGAGCTGTCTCTCTGCAAAGATTTGTGCAAACACGCCTCCGAAAATTGGTGTTAGTGCCCCTTTGACCGACGAGGGTGAAACAGTTTAGACAAATTGAGACAATGTGGCGCTGCCTGCACTGAGCACTGGACACATCAAGTAACTGCTCAGTAATTTGATGTCTCGAGCCTCCAAGTATGATGATAGACAATTAGCATGCTTTCAAAAAGTCAGGAAGCTTGCGCTGGCTTAGTAAAACATGAAATGAGTTCCTGACGCAGGCATTGAGTTGCCTGGCGCTAGCAGACAATAGCAAACCTGGCCTACTTTCACCTAGACGATTCGGCTGAGAATTGGTAGGTTGTTACATGAGTATCAAAAACGGTGAATACTCCATGCGACGACATTCATTAAACCCCTCCTTCCACTCTCATCATCTGAATGGGCTGTTCAACTGCATGCTTAGGGCTGTACCGCCTGGGTTTTACCTCTAAAGGCTACAAAGACATTGATTGAAATGTGGGGTTTAACGTCCCAAAGCCACCATATGATTATGAGAGACGCCGTATACAGTGGCGGGCTCCAGGAATTTCAACCACTTGGGGTTCTTTAACGTGCACCCAAATCAGAGCACACGGGCCTACAACATTTCCGCCTCTATCGGAAATGCAGCCGCCACAGCCGGGATTCGATCCCGTGATCTGCGGGTCAGCAGCCGAGTACCTTAGCCACTAGAACACCGCAGTGGGGCACAGCTCCATCCAGGTAGCCGTTGTTGCTACAACTGTATAGTGTGCGGTCCTGAGAATCAAAAGAGCGTACCTGTACGCCATGCTTGCAGACGCAGCGTCCAGTCATCTGTTCGCAGTCGTCGCGCACTGAGCCAAGCGGCGAGCACTGGCAGGGCGAGCATCCGTTGACACCATCGGCGATGCGATGTAGCCCCCAGTAGCCCGGCAGACAGCGGTCGCACCGTTGCCCTCCGACGCCTGGCTTGCAGGCGCACTGACTGCTCAGTGCGTCGCACGTGGCTGCCAGCGAACCGAGCCTGTTGCAGTTGCACACACCTGTTGGGCAGTCGCTGTTCTACACTCCGGATTTGTTCAGCCACATGTGCGTCAAGAGCGTGCACACACGCACGCACTTCACACGGGGTGTTTGAAGATTGCATATTATAACGGCACGAAACGACAAAACAGGAAGATGCACACGATGTACGCTAGCGAGCCGCTTTCTAACGGTCGTCCTAACTGCATGTTTGTGTGTCCTCGTTTTGTTCCGTTACACTATGCACTCAAGAAAAACCAACTGGCGAAAGTTTAAGGTAGAACTCTTTCAAGAAATGGGGCCAAAAATCTCGAAACGCAGGAAACCGCGATACTCGTTCCATGCTCCTTTTGCAGCCGCAGGAGTCAAAATATGTTAAAGGCAAAATTGGGATAGTAACTAAGCAAGTTATACTCATGATCTTTTGATTTATCGCAGTTAGGCGATTATGTCACATATAAAAATTCATTTCCTTCAGGGGAGTATACTATTGCAGCTTTTATATTTGAAAAAAAATTGGCAGAGCTCACGTACCATGGGAATCGATACTATGCGAAGCAGGATTAAGGAACGTTGATATGTCACTTTAGAATCAGCACAACGTCACGAGGCAGAGGTAAATTATGCCGTACATGACTTTGATATCAGGATCATCAAGTTTGCACGCGTCATTTGCCCTCAATTTATTAACGACACCTGATACAAAATTTTAAATCTATGGAGCTAGCGAAACGGCTGCGACACTGCTATGAGCGTAGCATGTAGTCAAATTTATCATTACACGCATGTCATGATTATCATGTTTGCACGTGTCGTTTCCCTTCGTCGTCCATTCACGTCATAAAATAGCAGAATTGGTATATGTGAAGCTAGCGAAAAGACCGCGAGAGCATCATGAGCGTCACATGTATTCATGTTGTTACAGGACACGTATCTCAAGATTAACATGTTTGCACCAGTCACATACCATCGTCACCCGTTCACGTGCCCTAATAAGAAATTTTTTATATATGAAGCTAGCGAGACGGCAACGAGCGCATCATGAGAGGCCCAATATACTCCGACGTAACGTTGACGCGCAGGCACTGGGCGCAGCGACGCTACGCTAAGAAAACGCGAGCAGTCTATATTCCGACGCCAGGCGTGACCAGCACATGTCAGGCGCAGCCTGGCGGCAACCAGCGCGGAATACATGTTGCATTTCACGCCTACAACGTTTTCCAGACAGCACCACGTCTGCCTCTCTTCGTGACGACGGGACGCCGGGCGCGCTCAGACGCGCATACGTCAAAGCCACGCAGCGCGGCGCGCGCCTGCGAGTATTGGCAGGCAGCGGCCCCTGGCGTGGCATCGCCGGTGCGCTGGGTCACGTCGAACGGTAATGGCGCCTGGACTGCAGCACGTAGTCATGTTCTCGCATTGCACGCTTCTCATGATTGTCATGGTTAAACCAGTCACATTCCTTCGTGATCCCTCACGTGGCGCAATACCGAATTTGGTACATGTGAAGCTAGCGAAACGGCCGCGAGCGCATCATGAGCGTGGCATATAGTCTTGTTGTTACATGACACGCATCTCATGATTATTATGTTTGACCCAGTAACATGCCTTCTTGATCTATTCACGTTCCGTAATACCAAATTTGGTATATGCGAAGCGAGCGAAACGGCTGCGAGCGCATCATGAGTATGGCCAGAGTCCATACTGACATGAACTTCCAAACTTCGTTGCTGCCGCGTCCCTCTCGCCTTGAAAGATGTTTGCGAGAGTGAGAGGGAACTAAAAAAAGCAAAGAAAAAAAAGGAGAAGAAAAAAGACGAAAAGAAAAAATGAAAAAGAAAGGAAAGAAAGAAAGTAAAAAAGAGGAAGAACCACTGTCTACACTGAGAACGAAACCAACTGTCCGTGCACGTCCACATCCGGTTCTTATCACGTGCTGTTCAGTTCTCGACGTGTTTCGGCCCACCCAAGATTGTCGCCGCGGTGGCGGGAGGGGTCCGTGATGGCGTGCGTAAGGAAAGGGTTTCCCGTAATGGGTCGGTTGGCTCTTTACTTTTAATCTTCGTCCGTTTCTTTTCAATGGTCCATCAAGTGGTAGACGAACATAAACACTTTGTATGTGCATGTGAAAAAAGAAAAAAAGAAAAAAAAGAAGAAAAAAAACAAGAAAGGACAGTGTACACGTACGAGTCAGTCAGAAAAAATATGCATGGTCTCCAGCTATCAATGTTCATTTATTTATTTATTTATTTATTTATGACATACTGCAGGCCCAGGTAAGGGCCCAAGCAGGAGGGGCATGGGAAGTACAAATTATAATAACCAGAGGGAAACAACATTGTAAGTATGTAACGGGAAAAGAAACAATACAAAAGTTGGCATATAAACTAAGCATATGCAAAGCATATACAAGGCAAGAACAAAAAGGCATACACAAGGCATATACAAAGCATAAAAAACTTGGCATCTTAACTGAGCAATAGCGTCAATATTGGACAGCTGTTCACAAGGCAAGTTGTTCCAGTCTGTTATTGTACGCGGAAAAAATGAATACTTAAATACGTTGGTTTTAGTGCTATAAGGCGTTAAGGATTCAGCGTGGCGATGCCTTGTCCGGCGTGCTTCGAGCGGAGTTATGAAAGGCTGCGGGTTAAGGGATAAACGGTTATTTTTCAGCAAGAACATAAATTTTATTATGAGAATTTTACGCCGTAGTTGTAATGTTGGAATGCTATTAGTTAGCATTAGGGTTGATGGGGAATCAGTTGAACGGTATTTGGAGGATATGAATCTTATTGCTTTGCGTTGTATCATTTCTAATGCGTCAGTGTTACGTTTGGTGTAAGGGTCCCACACAGTACATGCATATTCTAATTTTGGACGGATTAGCGAGTAATAAGCTGTTAGGCGAGTGTTATGGGGAGCCTGTTTTAATTTATGCCTCAAAAAGCAGAGCTTACGGAAAGATGACTTGCAGATGTTAGAGATATGCGTATTCCAGGATAAATTGTTAGTAATAGTAACACCTAAGTACTCATATTGATTAACTTCAATTAGGGCTTTGGAAGCGATATTATATGGAAAGGATAACTTTTTAACCTTTTTGGTGATTTTCATATAGACAGACCTTTCTGCATTTAATTCCATATTCCATTTTTCACCCCAAGATACGATATTTTGAAGGTTAGAATTAGGTGCAGCTTGGTCGTCCCTGCAAGTTATTTCATTGAACACCACACAGTCATCGGCGAACAATCTGATTTAAACGGGCTCTGTAATTGTGTCAGTGATGTCATTAATGTAAATTAAAAATAACAAAAGTCCTAAAATGCTGCCCTGTGGGACTCCCGAAGTTACCGGAAGTTCACCCGAAAAATTATCATCGATAACAACAAATTGCTTACGGTTAGTCAGGTAGGCAGAAATCTAATTAATTAAATATGCTGGGAAGTTATTCATTTCGAGTTTATTATAAGGTTACAGTGCGAAACAAGGTCAAACGCTTTCCTAAAATCTAAAAAAACTACATCAATATGCCCAGATTTGTCAAGGACAGACGCAAAATTATGAACGATAGAAGTCAGTTGGGTAACCATAAAAAAGCCTTTACGAAAGCCATGCTGGTAGTTAGAGAGAATATTTCTATCAGAAAGAAATTTGTTAATCTCGTTTGCTATGATATGTTCAAGCAGCTTGCACGAAGAGGATGTTAGTGAAATCGGACGATAGTTAGTTAAAAGTGTTGCATCTCCTTTCTTAGGCACAGGTACGACACGTGCCCTCAACCAATCGCTAGGAAGAATTGCAGAAGATAACGATGCATGAAAAATGACAACTAGAAAGTGGGACAACTTTTCTGCATATCTGCGCAGAAAAGCATTTGGTAAGGCATCTGGACCAGGTGATGACTTAGTTTTCAGATTGAGCAACATAGAAACTACCCCTGGTTGCGATACTATATCGGGTGGTACAATGTGAGGCATATGTTTTATTAACGGCAGATCATAAGAACGGGAAAAAACACTGTGAAAAAATTTGTTAAAATGATCAGCAATGCTTTGCTTCTCGACGACTAGGGATCCCTCGTGTACAATTTGGTCGACTGACCTTGTTTTTTCTTTTAAGTACCTCCAAATCTTTTCCGGGGCATTTCGCATAAAACCTGGCAGCGTATGCTGAAAGTACCTTTCTATTGCGTTTTTCACTATTTCATTTAATTTAGGTTGAATATTTAGAATAGTATCACGAGAAGCGCCTTGTCGTCTTAAGCGTTTAATCTTTCTTTTTAGTTGCAGCGCTTCTCGCGTCATCCAGGGATTTTTCTTTGCTACTTTCTTTGTTTTTTCAGGAATAAAATTATTAATACAGTACATGCACATGCTTATAAACTTTTTCCAAAGACAATGTTTGTCACCAATTTCGTCCTGCCTTATTTCTGGGAGGCAGGAGAGTTTTCCGGCGTCCTCGTTGATGCCGGCTACTAATGTTCGAAATTTGAAAATAAAATATGCCTCACGCTGTTCGCGCTCGCGCCTGTTTGAGAAACCAGACTGCAAACAGGCGCGAGCGCGAACAGCGTGAGACATATTTTATTTCCCCCTTTTCTCTCCCCCTTCCCCCTTTTGTTTTTTTTCTTTCTTTCCTTTTTTTAGTTCCCTCTCACTCTCGCAAACATCTTTCAAGGCGAGAGGGACACGGCAGCAACGAAGTTTGAAAGTTCATGTCAGTATAACTCATCCCCTGATGAAGGGAGGACGCCTCCCGAAACTTTTGGGAAATAAATATATTTATCCTTGTTGACAACGCTCCCGTTGTGCCATATCTCATACCTATATATATATATATATATATATATATATATATATATATATATATATATATATATATATAGTGGGAGTAATATTTCAATGGGCCAGTTAGTCTTCGTGAAGGTATGGGATATGGCACAACGGGAGCGTTGTCAACAAGGATAAATATATTTAATATATTTATCCTTGTTGACAACGCTCCCGTTGTGCCA